CCCCAAAACCCCAAAACCCCAAAACCCCTCTCCTCCACTCCAAAATTGATTTTCCAATTCAAAAATCTCCCAAAAATTGCCTAATCTTCCATTACGTTGTTGACTCCGACCGTTCCTCTATTCAGTTCAATCTCTTATCTATATCCATAAATTACTCAACATCTCAACGTGGCTTAGCTCCTGGGCTGGGCCAAGTCTATTTTCATAAGAAAGATTTGGATGAACAGAAACTGGATTTGGAAAATCTGTAGTGCAAAAAGAGATTTTGTGCGTGAAAAATTTGGATTTTGGGGGTTTTAGAGGACATTTTTAGGAGGGATGAAGGATGATGGAGGAAATTTGGGCAGATGATAGAGGAAGATATGGGAGAAAAGTCCTGAAGGAAGATTCTTGGTGGATAAAAGAAGTTTTGATAAAGCTGGCCATTTGAATGGAGTGAGAGCCGTTTTTATTTTGTATCAGTACTATTAAAATTTGTATAGCGAAAATTCATATCGAAGAAATATTAAACATGTCTTAGGGAGATACCTTTGTCTGCTACATGAATCTCAGTATCTTGAGCAGCTGAAGCTGACTTTGCCTTTAGTTGTAAAGCTATAGAATGCTAAACCTATTCAGGCATACCTTTTACCAGAAGATCTTGGTTTGCCTTTTCCAATCCTTCAATTCTTGAACCCAACATTTTAATGTTACTCCGAAGTGCAGAGTTTTGAGTTGCCACATGGTTGTACTCACTAGCTTCTATAAACTCCTTCTTCTGTTTATTAAAGTAAGCTTCAAGCTCATCATTTCGTTCCTCGAGTTCCTGAATCATTAAGTCTTTTTCCAAAAGTATTTTAAAAGTATCTTTAAATTTCATATCCATTTCTTCTTGCCTTTTAAGGGAATCAGCACTCATGGTTGAAATGAGTTCCTGAAGATGCTCTATCTCAGCAGCGAAGGGTCTCAATTCAAGGATGGGATGCCTTTCAGGATGGTTTCACTATACGATATCACACTGAGGAGACCTACAAACTCTGAAATTGGAGATCCTGGCTCTTGTTTCCCCTCATATTTGCTGTAAAAAGTTTATTTTATAAACTTACAGATTCTTGGCTTTTAGTAGCAAAGAAAGCTTCTTTAATTTTGAAGCCAATTCGGCATTTTCTGATGTTAATTTCGCATTCTTTCTTTGAAGAGCAAGGTTGTCATTCTTAAGCTTGGCTAGCTTCTCCGACTCTGGAGCAGACTCAGAAATACTGGAGGTTAAGTCTTCTATAACAACTGGTAACCTGGAATTATATAAATTATGAAGTAGGAAAAACTGTTAATCTTTCTTTAAGACTTCTCCTTTAGAATTGGCTCCAAGAGGGGTGACGAAGGCCAGGTCTGTTATCAACCGGCTTAGAAGGAACTGTTAAAAAATTATAAATAACTATTTGGCTTTAAATTATATACCTGTCTAAAGTTATTATACTTTTTTATGCAGTAAGATAAGTTGTAGAATCAGCAACAGATCAAAATTTACCTTTGAGGTATATTTTTGGTACTTTTCGGCTCACACTTGATGGCATTTTGAATGTGTTCAGTTTTCTGTTACGCCTAGTCTCCATTTGCTCAAGGTTTGAAGGAAAACTAGCTATTTTGTTTGTAATTTAAGGACTTACTGAACTCTTTGTGACGCTTCGCTCTCTGAGCAGGAGATAAAATACCTAAAAGCGTTTGGAAATAATCAAGAGGAGGATCTTACGCTGAATTGGGGTTGCTAGCTTCTTTTTTATTGCTCCACCTGGAACTATTATTCGACGGCTTGGAGCTTTCTTTAGAGTTACTTGATTGTTTAGAGTAGTAGTTGCTTCAGTAGGAGGAAGGAAAGGACTTCCATCTTCACTATTTGAGTAGTAATCGGTGCTATTTTAATCTTTGAAATTTTGCAATCCAAGAGCAGTCCTCAGGCTTCAGATTTTGATTGGTTGCTTTTGAGATTAGGTCATTTTGCGGTTTTAGAACTGGAGAGGGAGGAATTTGAGATCTATCTTCTGAGAAATTTTTCATTGTCTTAGCAAAGTGCTTTTTGAAGTTATACTTATAGGTTTTTATCCCAATATTTCTTGGTCTATTCCTTCTATATAGTTTCATTTTCTTTAAGGGAAATTCAATATTAAAACTTTATTTTGGGGTTTTGGGGTTTTGGGGTTTTGGGGTTTTGGGGTTTTGGGG